CATTTCCATCTCAAAAACAATGTGCGCATCTGCCCCTACTTAACGCAAGATGCGACTAAGGTGTTGGTCCATTCCACTGTCCTTTCTCGCCTTGACTACTGTAATCCGCTTCTCAGTGGTCTTACGTGCTCCCAACTTGCGCATTTACAGTCCATAATGCGGCGGTGAGGTTCATCTCCCTGTCCGCCCGTACTTCCCATGCCTCGCCCTTCTGTCAGTCCCTACATTGGCTTCCTTTAAAATATAGAGCTAAATTTAAAATTCTGGTTCTTGCTTTCAAATCTCTACATAATGCTGCTCCCACCTATCTATCCTCCCTTATACACAAGTATGTCCCGTCTAGGCCCTTACGATCTGCTGAAGACTTACGTCTATCTTCTGTCCGTACTCCCACCTCTGATGCTCGCCTTTCGAGGGCTGCACCGTTCCTGTGGAACTCGCTTCCCTCCTTCGTTAGATGCTCAAAAGCGTATCAATTAAACTGTTAATAGTTCCTGACTGATTCCTCTTCTGCAACTGTCATAGTCTAATACTATTCCTTACTCTTTTGTCATTTTACCCCACTCCCTCTAGTATGCTGTAGCGAGCAGGCCTCAATCCTCTGTTACTGTGTCACCCCCTCCCTCTAGCATGTAAGCTCATTGAGCAGGGCCCTCAACCCCTCTGTTCCTGTGTGTCCAACTTGTCTGGTTACAACTACATGTCTGTTCGTCCACCCATTGTAAAGCGCTGCGGAATTTGACGGCCCTCTATAAATATCATAATAATAATAATAATAATTTGAAACAGCCATTTATTGATTCCTGATTTATGGAAAAGAGCCAAGTTCATTATTATACCTGAACGCATTCATTGCTCACAGTTGTGCAATTCTCAGCCGTTCCTATGCAGAACACAATATAAATCTACTGGGGGCTGTCATGAGAAGATTACATTAATTGTATCCCATTTAAAGGTACAAACCAGGGAGATGTATAACCCTTTTTATGAATTATGCATTTTCTAAATATTTGTTCTCTGTGTCATTCCTGACCTGCTATAGATTTCAATATGCTTTTATGAACCACATGTGATTAATGAGCAGCTTAAGTTACACCAGCCATCAAAACCAACAAACTGCCATCAAAACCTAAACACTGCCATCAAAACCTACAAATTGCCAACAAAACCTTTATCCAACCATCAAAACCTTTCCAGACATGAAAACCTATAAACTGCCAAAAAACCCTAAACACTGCCACAACTACCACAAAACCTAAATACTGACATCACAACGTTCATCCAGCCATCACAACCTACAAATTGCCATCAAAACCTTTATCCAGCTTTCAAAACCTACAAACTGCTACAAAACCTAAATACTGCCACACAAACCTTCATCTAGTCATCACAACCTACAAACTGACACCAAAACGTACATTCAGCCATCAAAAATGTCATCCTGCTTTCACAAACTACACACGGCCACCAAAACCTTCGTCCAGTCATCAAAACCTACAAACTGCCATTAAAAACCTTCACCCTGCCTTCAAAACCTTCATCCAGCCTTCAAAACTTACAAACTTTCATCAAAACTTACAAACTGCCACCAAAACCCTCATCCAGCCATCACAACCTACAAACTGACACCAAAACCTTCATCCTGTTTTGAAAACCTACAAACTGACACCAAATCCTACATCCAGACATCAGAACTTAGAAACTCACACAAAAACCCACAAACTGCCATCACAACCTACAAACTGACACCAAATCTACATTCAGCCATCAAAACTTAGACACTGACACCAAAACCCACAAACTGCCATCACAACCTACAAACTGCCACCAAAACCTTCACCCAGCCATCACAACCTACAAACTGACACCAAAACCTTCATCCTGTTTTGAAAACCTATAAACTGACACCAAATCCTACATCCAACCATCAAAACTTAGAAACTCACACAAAAACCCACAAACTGCCATCACAACCTACAAACTGACACCAACACCTACATTCAGCCATCAAAACTTACATAGTTACATAGTTACATAGCTGAAAAGAGACTTGCGTCCATCAAGTTCAGCCTTCCTCACATTTGTTTTTTGTTGTTGATCCAAAAGAAAAAAAACCCAGTTTGAAGCACAATTTTGCAACAAGCTAGGAAAAAAAATCCTTCTTGACCCCAGAATGGCAGTCAGATTTATCCTTGGATTAAGCAGTTATTACCCTACATTGAAAGATTATATCCTTGAATATTCCGTTTTTGCAAGTTTGCATCTAGTAGCTGTTTGAACATCTGTATGGACTCTGATAAAACCACTTCTTCAGGCAGAGAATTCCACATCCTGATTGTTCTTACAGTAAAAAAACTTTCCTTTGCCTTAGATGAAATCTTCTTTCTTCCAGTCTAAACGCATGACCTCGTGTTCCATGTAAAGTCCGGTTTGTGAATAGATTGCCACACAATGGTTTGTATTGGCCCCGAATATATTTGTATAATGTTATCATATCCCCTCTCAGGCAACGTTTTTCTAAACTAAATAGGTTTAAATTTGTTAACCTTTCTTCATAGCTGATATGTTCCATTCCTTTTATTAATTTTGTAGCCCACCTCTGCACTTTTTGTAGTGCCATAATATCCTTATTTCGAACAGGTGCCCAAAATTGAATAGCATATTCAACATGTGGTCTTGCCAGTGATTAATAAAGAGGCAAAATGATATTCTCATCTCTAGAATGAATGCCCTTTTTCATGCATGACAATACCTTACTGGCCTTGGCCACTGCTGATTGACATTGCACATTGTTACATAGTTTGTTGTCTATAACAATTCCCAAGTCCTTCTTGTGTGTTGTTCTTCCTAATTTGCTTCTATTAAGGGTATACAGTGCCTTGCAAAAGTATTCACCCCTCCCCCCCCCTTGTCGTTTTTTGTGTTTTGTTGCCTCACAACCTGGAATTAACATGGATTGTTTGAGGATTTGCATCATTTAATTTACAGAACATACCCACAACTTTGAAGATTTTTTTAGATTTTTTTATTGTGAAACAATTAACAAATAGGACAAAATAACAGAAAAAGTCAATGTGCATAACTATTCACCCCCCTAAAGTCAATATTTTGTAGAGCCACCTTTTGCTGCAATCACAACTCCAAGTCGCTTTGGATAAGCCTCTATGAGCTTGCCCCATCTTACCACTGGGATTTTTGCCCATTCCTCCTTGCAAAACTGTTCCAGCTCCTTCAAGTTGGATGGTTTGCACTTGTGAACAGCAATCTTTAAGTCTGACCACAGATTTTCTATTGGATTGAGGTCTGTGCTTTGACTAGGCCATTCCAACACATTTACATGTTTCCTGTTAAACCACTCAAGTGTTGCTTTAGCAGTGTGTGTGTTTGGGGTCATTGTGAACCTCCATCCTCGCCTCAAATCATGCACAGACTGGTACAGGTGTTGCTCAAGAATATGCCTGTATTTAGCACCATCCATCTTTCTTTCAACTCTGACCAGTTTCCCAGTCCCGGCTGCTGAAAAACATCCCCACAGCATGATGCTGCCACCACCATGTTTCACTGTGGGGATGGTGTTCTTTGGATGATGAGATGTGTTGGGTTTGCGTCAGACATTGTGTTTTCCTTGATGTCCGAAAAGTTAAATTTTAGTATCATCAGACCAGAGCACCTTCCTCCATACATTTTGGGAATCTCCCACATGCCATTTAGCAAACTCAAAACGTGCCATTTTGTTTTTTGCTGAAAGTAATGGCTTTCTTCTGGCCACTCTGCCATAAAGCCAACTCTATAGAGCGTACGGCTTGTTGTTGTCCTATGTACAGATACTCCAGTCTCTGCTGTGGAACTCTGCAGTTTCTCCAGGGTTGCCTTTGGTTTCTGTGCTGCCTCTCTGATTAATGCCCTCCTTGCCCGTGACTTTTGGTGGGTGGTCGTGTCTTGGCAGTGTTTGCTGTTGTGCCATGTTCTTTCCATTTGGTTATGATAGATTTGATGGTGCTCCTGGGGATCATCAAAAATGTGGATATTTTTTTATAACCTAACCCTGACTTGTACTTCTCAACAACATTGTCCCTCACTTGTTTGGAGAGTCCCTTGGTCTTCATGGCAGTGTTTGGTTAGTGGTGCCTCTTACTTAGGTGTCACAGCCTCTGGGGCCTTTCAAAAAAAGGTGTGTATAGGTTGTGACAGATCATGTGACACTTAGATTGCACACAGGTGGACATCATTTCACTAATGTGAGGTAGGCTGAACTTGATGGACGCAAGTCTCTTTTCAGCTATGTAACTATGTAACTAGGTAATTATGTGACTTCTGAAGGTAATTGGATGCACCAGAGCTTTTTATGGGCTTCATAACAAAGGGGGTGAATACATACGCACATGCTGTTTTATATTTCTAAAAAATAGTTTTTGTATATATTTTTCTCATTTCACTTCACCAACTTAAACTATTGTGTTCTGATCCATCACATAAAATTCAGATTAATAAAACATTGAACTTAAGGCTGTAATGTAACAAAATAGGTAAAAAGTCAAGGGGGTGAATACTTTTGCAAGGCACTGTAAGTTGCTCATGTATTTTTTACACCTAAGTGCATAACTTAGCATTTGTCTACGTTAAATTTCATATGCCATTTGAGAGCCCAGTACCCCATTTATCTAAATCCCTCTGCATCAAAGTAATATTTTGCTCACATTGTATTACTTTCAGGGCATCACTAGGGGGGGTAGGAGGGCAGAGGGGGCCATGCCCCCTGCACCCATAGATCAGGCAGTGGTCCCCCTTGTGCCCCCCCACCCCATTCAAAACTAAAGTTATGGCTCGTTGCGCTGCTTGCCTTCTACTCGCTTTAATCTGAAATCAAAACATGCTTGCCGCCGCACCGCGAGGGAGCACTGCTTTAACCTCCCTCGCAGCTCGTTACTGTCAATTCCCTGAATGATTTTAATTGCGAGGCTGCCACACAGCACTGAAGAGTATAAGCAGAGCAAGATCAGTGAGGAGAAGAGCAAACAAACAAAAGCAGATAGCAGAGCAAGTAAGGGGGAGCAGAGAAAGCAAAGAGTAGCAGAGCAAGTCAGGGGGAGCAGAGAGCAGAGCAAGTAAGGGGGAGCAGAGCAATCTAAGGTGTGACAATGACACCTTACCTACCTGAGATTGGAGACAATGTGGACACACGTAAGATGTGAAACCATACCTACCTGAGATTGCAGTTTGCAGAGGAACTGAGCGAGCAGAGAAGACACTCCAGACAGTGGCATTACTACTGTAAGTAACGTGAACTTTAATTGAAGCTTTTGAGTAAATAATATTTATGTACCCATGACTGCTGACCAAACCCATCCCGTTGCCCAATAACACACATGAGACCTATATTTGTTGGGTAAGGGTAACGGCCACAGCTTTATTTAACTTAAACACCAAATGCCAGCAAACATATCAGACTGTAAGCTGTTGGGATGCTTCTCCAACAGACAGGTCTACCATTAAATAATCCAAGAGTCCTAAGCAGCCTGCCCCCGCCATCAGCTCTCAGCAGGCTGCAACTCCCCAAGCCACCTCAGCATCTTCCTCAACTGTACTGCGCTGGCCAGGACTCCCACCACCGCGATGGAAATCTAACCCTTATCTAGATGTCATCGCACCCTCTGCCAACAGGACAGCCTCAATACCCACCTGTAGTCCTGTATTTTAAATATGTCTAAACCAATTAAATTCAAGTGAACCCCATAGTTCCACTTTAAGTTTGCATTGTTGCCTTCTAACTCCACATGCCTAACCATGAATCCCCTAAGCGGCAAACAAATCTGGACACAGTTATATTAAGCTTGCGCCTCCCTCTCTCAATACCTCGCGCGTGCAGCAACCCTTTTCCAACATGGGCTAGGCACCATCTCTGACCACACTAATGACAGGTCCAGGAACAGAGCAACACAGCGTGCCAAATCCGGTCTGATCGCATGTATAAAGTCAATGGTTCTTACCCGGCCCAAATCATTACCCCCTGCATGAATAACTAAGGTAACTGGACAAGTAACAAATCTACGCAGCGCGGTACATTCTGGATGGAGCTGCAGCCATGACAGACCCCTGATACCTCTCCAGCTCACCCGAGCTACCTCAAACAAAAAGCCCAGATTCCACCCATATTGACTCTCCTTAGCTCATCGCTCAGCCCAATAAATATATGAGTGACCCAGGATCCAGACATAACAAGGGCTGGGACCAACAAAACAACAATTATAACAAGTGAGGACAAACATAAGATCGATAGCGACCAGATTCCCATCTACCTAAGTGCCTGATATCCTCAGCAGTATACCCCAACAGACTCGCTTGTGTGACAGCCCTGATTCTAAACGAGTTAATCAAGTACCCTTCAATATCGAAGTAAACTGGTAGCGGAGACCCATCCAAGTGAACCAACAAGGAACACGGCACCCTGGGTCCTAAATAACTGATAAACAGATGAACCAGACAAAACTCACCTCCTGTAACACCAATCCATACTCATGCAACCCTTCCTACCTGATCGTTTTTTGATCGACGAATCAGGAGATCCACTGCCCTATCCGACAAACGCATGTCTGACAAAAGAAGAGGGGAAACCGAACGCAAATTACGCGCTACTAGCTCACCCACCCAAGAAACAGAATACATATGCCCAGTGGTGTATCCTGGTTTTGTGCTGCCCTAGGCATGACAAAACTCAGTTTGTTCATTTTCAAACTACCGAACTAGACCGACTGCAAGCCCTGATTCTTTGGAACTGTTTTGGGCATGGGACCATGCCTGTGGTCGATCAAATAAATGACTTCCATAGAATTCCTGAACCCCTGGGTGATTTTTGGATATGTTGGTCATCCAGATCAGGGCTATCAGGGGATGTAACATGGGGATATTATGTGTTTTTGGGGTTTATAGAAATATGTGGGGTTTTTTCTGCCTGGAGATAATTGGATTTAAACAGTATCTGACTCAATTATCTCCCAGGCAGAGGGGAGGGATTGTGTGCTGTATGTGGGAGTGTCGTGCCTTGTAACCTTATTTTTATTGGTCTGTGACGTTGTAAATCAGTCTACCATCAGGTCCATGTGGGCGTACCCCTTGCATGGGGATTGTCATATAAGGCCAAGTGTGCCACCAGGTGGTCCATCACACCTTCCAAGAAAACCAACGTTCTTTTAAAACTACCAGACTCAGCCCCTACACCTCCCTCTTGGATTCCTATCAGCAGTCTTTGCCTCCATATTGCCTGTTATGCTCTCCAAGATGACTATGATAACGAATCCTGATAAAGGGCACTCAACTCTCGAAATCGAGATTCCATAAAGATGACTTCCGCTTCCGGTGACGACCTCCGAAATTAGTCCCACTGAAACCGAGAAAAAGCGCCAGCCATCACATTCAACACATCCGACATGCGATGTGCTTTAATTGCCTTGCCCACACATTAAAACTCAAGGTTAACAAGACTAACAGGCGCAGCAACACTAAAACCGAGGGCGAAGCAGATAAGGAGCGGTTATCACATGAACAACACTCATGTTGTCCATGTGAAAAACCCCAGCATTACTCATGGTGGCATGCAGACAACACAAGCAACCATTGTAGGAACCCAAGAACGAACTCCACACCTGCAGGTTACTGCGTAACCGATGCGTAACCCGAATGTAATGAAAAGGTTCCCAAACTCCTACCGTCACCAGCGAGAGCTGCCTACAGAACGCCCTACCCATAGGAAGAACTCTACATGCGAAAGCTAGATGACCCAGTAAGACCTGCAACTGTCGCAACAAAACCCCCAACTTATCCTCCGGCAACCGAAATATCATCCTTTCCAAGTCAATTTCAATGCCCAGGAAGGATAAAACCGTCGTAGGAACCACCATTTTCTGCTCCGCAACTGGCACCCTAAAGTCCGCTGCAACTTCCCTGAAAGTGCACAACAAAAGCAAGCACTCCTGCGAGTCGCCCGATTCCATAAATAAGAAGTCATCCACTTAACAGTGACCCACTCCAAGAAGGATGAGAACATCTTGAAATAATAACATGATATGGTCTAGCAAAACCAGCATTGCCCCCCATACACCTTGTAAGCCCCCCAAATCAAATTCAGGTACCCAAATAACTCTGTCAGGGAAATGCCGCACTAAAATACAGGCAAATATGTTAAAACCCTATAGCTTATCTTTTTCTGGGTCGCGAACTTCCCCGCAGCGTGGCCTGTCCACTGATTCCTTGTCCGGTGGCACCAGCAACAGGACTTTCACAAACTCACCTCTGCACATCTCATCCTCTACCTCCATTGGGACATGCATGCCCAATGGAGCCAACTCACAGCCCGACAAGGGTGGGGGGACCGATGCGCCCCCGCTCCTACCCCTTTACCACACCCAGGGATTGTTCTAACCAAGAGACTAAACTGCGAGACCTCCCCAGCACAAGCCATTGGAACTAGGAGCCTATCCAACAACCCTTTAAGCAAGTGCTATACCTCTTGCCCAGGACCCTGACTGTGATGGATCACCCTGTCCCTGGATCGTAATCCCTTTATTTCATTCCCCTATGGGTTCGGGACATTGCATTCTTCTATGTTTTATTTTTATTTCATTCTCCTACGGAAAAAACTACTGAACAAACTACCGAACGTCTAGTCTACCCGTATGTGGAGTGTGCCACTCATTAACCTCTATCACCTCCTTAACACTTCTAAAAACGCAAGTGTTCTAAGCGGTCGTCTGGGTGGTCGCCATTTGGTATACGAACATGTGGCGGCGGCCATCTTAAAACATACAATGGTGTTTGGTCGTCGAGTGCATGGAACTATAATCGGACACACGACGACGCGAACACCGCTGGGACTTCCATCTGTATATATGTTCGGTGGGAGCAAGCTCCTGAACGAGGAACATAGACTGTACCTACTCACAAACCCCTATGTTCGGTATTGACTGTATTGAGTATTTCTGAAAGAGACCGACCGCACAGTCTGATTTCATGGAACTCGTTTGGGCAGGAGCTTTGTGTGCGGTCAGTCAAACTGTGACTTCCAGGAAATCTCGAACCCCTGAACTGATCTGGGTGATTTTCGGATATGTTGGTCACCCAGATCGGGCCTATCAGGGGATGTAACTTTTTTTGGGGTATCCATGGGTTTTGGGGGTACTTTTGGGGTAAAATGTATGTTCTCTGTGGCTGAAGATAATTGAGTTAATACAGTCCATGACTCAATTATTTTCCAGGCACAGGGGAGGTATTGTCTTATTTTGTATGGGAGTGTCCTGGACCTGAGAGCCAATGTAATTGTGTGTTTGTTTTTACTGTAGTTTACTCTCACGTCCAGAGGGAAGTGCCCCTTGCATGGGGATTGACATAAAAGGCCGTGTGTGGCCCTATTAAAACCAGTTGTCCCACAGCATAGAGCCTCATCTCATGCCTGTGGGAGAAAGCTACAAAAGCTGTCTCCCTTCTGCTTGGAGTGCTAAATCACTAGCTATTGTAAGAGCTGTTCCTGCTCTGCATTACAGCATCCCTCACACTAGGGGGAAAAGAACATCTCTGGCGGCGGAACACCTCTTCCCATTGCAGTGGCTGCCACACTGACTAGCCCCTGAGTTCCCCTAGGCACTAGCGCAGGCAATCAGCCCCAGCCAGGAGTCTTCCAGTCCATGAAACATTGCTGCGGCCTGCGGTCTCCTGAGCTCCAGATCCTGCTTCCATCTCTCTCTTCGGCTCCCTCTGTCTTATGACGGCATTCCAACCTCCTTCAGGCATCAGGGCCTGTGACTCGGTCACGTTCCGCCCATCACGTACGCACCCCGCAATGAAGTCACTCACACCCGACTCCCGGCGCTCTGCCTGACTTACAGATGCCGTGCTGCATCACACACGTTTTATAATTGCCTTGCCCTAAAATTGCCCTAAAAGCTTTGTTTATGTTAACTTCCTTTAGTTGCTGCAGCACCTTGTCTTGAGTTAGCCAATTACAATTTTTCTGCAGCAATCACTTGCATATCTATTGCCATAGGTTCTACAATAATATATACGGAGAAGAAATAGTTATTTAAAATTTCTGCCTTTTCCTGGTCTTAATTAACTAATTAACGGTTTTTAGTGTATCTACACTTTCATGTTTTGTTTTTTTAGAATGTATGTACTTAAAAAACGCTTTGGGGTTGGTTTTGCTCTCTTCGGCTAGAAT